GTAGGGAGAGTAGAGAGAGTCTCAGCGAAGAAACTGAAGGGCTAATCTTGCAGGCTGCAAATATTCTCAGTGTCTTAAAGAAAATTTTCCATGGGTTGCTCCCAAGCCCAGTGAATTAAGGAAAATGGTTAATTTTACTGACTGAATCACCTCTCCAAGTGTCAGAGAGCTGCAGGGTCCGCCTGTTCCCCGAGGAACATGGAGCCCTGAGCCCAGGGTGACCCCAGCACAGGCAGAGCCCTCACCAAGCAGGGTGAGATTAACAGGGTCCAGCACCCACTGCACCCAAGCAGGACAGAGTAACAGGGTCCAGCAACTGTCCCAGACAAGGCGAAGCAATGAACTAGGTTGTGTCCCTCCAGAGAATCCAGTCAGGGGCAGAGACAGGACTAGAGACAATGTGGGCCCAAAGTCCATCCAGCAGGTCTGGCCCAAGACATGATGATGGAAGGCAAGCTCCAAGGTGGGCTCCAGCCAGGTGACACATGGTGTACAGTGTAGGTCCAGTGTCAGTCTAGGACACAGGCTGTGTGCAGTGTAGATCCAGTGTCAGTTTAGGTCCAGTGTCAGTCTAGGACACAGGACCAGGCCAGGGCTGGAGACAGATGCTTCTGCAGTGTACCTGGAGAGGCAGAGACTAAAGGTGAAGGACACAGATGCAGACCCTGGCCCCATAAGCAGGAAGTGAGAGTGGTGAGACCCTGGAATGGGTTGCCCAGGGAAGTGGTTGAGGCCCCATCCCTGGGGGTCTTTAAGGCCAGGCTGGATGAGGCTCTGGGCAGCCTGGTCTAGTGGGAGGTGTCCCTGCTCATGGCAGAGGGGTTGGAACTGGGGGATCCTTGTGGTCCCTTCCAACCCTGACAGATTCTGATCTGTTTTGGCAGAGGACTTTGGAGCCCTGGTGGCTCGGTGGTTGGACTTGATGATCTTGGAGGTCCCTTCCAACCTAAATGATTCTAAGTGTGGGTTGGGGTCCCAGGAGAGGCTGGTGAGGCCTGTTAGTGCCCCAAAACAGAGGGTAAGACTGCAGGTTACCCTGTTAACCAGGGTACAAAAGTGAAGAGTTTGCAGAAGCAGCACTTCAGGTGCTATTCAAAATTTTAAGCATAAGCACACGTGCTTGAAGTTAAGCATAAAGGTTTGGTTGGGTGAGGAAGTGGTGACAAGCAGCTGCAGCTCCAGTGAATTCAGGTACTTCACGTTACAAAACTACTTATTTCTTGTACTGAATGAAGGCACACAGCCCACAGTAAGAGTTTGCAGGTGTCCTAGTCTGCTTCATCTGTGCTTTTGTTGATTCTGTCAATGCTTAGGCATGGCCTTGGCAGGCAGAAGCTTTTTTAAACCTGTGTTAACTTTCTTTTATTGATTCTTTCATGTCCTCATACTTTTAAAGTGGCAAACATACTCAAGAAAACAAAAAGCTGAAGCAAGCTTATAAGCAGTTGGCAAACTGAAGAAAAAGCAGATCTAAAAATGAAGCTAAATGCTTCTCTTTTTTCATCTTCTACTAAATTCTGGGAATGTAAGAATTAAGGAAAAAATTTTGAGTTGGCATTATGTTAAATTTGAAGTGTACTGACAATAAAAATGGGCTTAACTTATAAAGGTTGGAAGTTTATAAAAACAGGAACTATAGTCCAAGTTGCTATAGAACTGGCAAGCTGTCACTTCAAAAAATTCATTCTGTTTAGTAGTCACTGTGATCATATGCTAAAAGCCAATCTTAACACCTGAGTTTGCCAGCTGCTGAGGAATAGAAAAGTTATTTCTGGATCTTATTTGCATTCTGTGATCTGAAGAAGAAAGAAGAGACACTAAATTATTCCAGTATTTCCATGCCTAGGTTTAACTATAATTATTACTAGTTAGGGACCAGGAGAAATTTTATCTCCAGACCCCAGATTCTTTGTCTAACAATGCTAATTGCTCAGATTTATGTTGAAAGAATGGGAGATGGAATATTGTTTGAAGAAAGAAGTCAATATTGTTTGAAGAATGAAGTGAGTTATTTCACTTATAATCTTCTAAATAATATCTTAAATCTTTGTAGTCTTTATGTTGAGCACATTAAATAGCAGTGGAACTGTATGAAGGGGATGGAGACCTGCCTTCTAACAAAGTAATATATGATAAAGCATTTAAAATGCTGACTCTAAAGCTGTTCTCCTGGATTGAGCAGTACATGAATGTAGGCTTCTTACTGCAATGACACAGGGAGTTATGGTAAATAAAATAATCCAAACAAATAAGGTAGGTGTTACTGATGTAAGATTTGCTCAGCTTTGATGGTTAATTGTCATGGGCTGGTTGTGTCTGAGCCAGCTGAGCTACGTTCTTTCCCTGTGATAACACAACTCCCTGTCCTAACAGAAACTGGAGGCAAAGGTACTCCTGCACTAGAGAAAGCTTACTGTAATTCTTGCTCTGAAGGAAGTGGGTGTGATTCCATTGCTCTGAAAAGATGCATCAGCACTGAGAACCATGGAGCTTTTACTAATAGAGTAGAAATTTAAAAAGGAAAGAGAAAATGGTTGTGTTGGGCATTCACTGGCATGCTTATGATGGACAATAACACTTCCATGTAGAGGCTTTCTACAGCAGTTAGCTTAAGTCTGTGTCATGCTACATTCATTGCTTTATTTTAGGACTTAGCCTTATTGACTCTTTTTCTGTCAAGTAAGCTTAGAAACCTGTTGTAGTGAAGAAGATATTGCATTAAAGAGTAAAATTAGAATGCTTACAGAGGAATTTGAGAAAATCACCCCTCAGATTTTATATTCATGGAGGTATAATTTGTTCATTACTTCATATGTAATACACAGTAGTTCTATTTTTAAGTGTAGGATCTGCTCCAAAGCCCATCTAAATCAATAGAAGAGCTCTCACAGACTTCAGGAAGTCTTGAATCAGTTTGGCAGTGAACTTTCTGTAGTAGTTCATAATTTCTGAAGACCACACATCACCTCCTCCAGCAATTGAAAATCATGATTTTTTTGGTTAACATGTCAAAACCAAGAAAGGTTTATGTGCTCCTTGAGTTTAGTTTTACCAGTGGTCTGGTGTAGCAGACACATTGACTATGTAAGGAGAAAGACAGGGAACTTCTGAAGCTGAGATACATATATTAAAAAAACCCTGTTGTCTGAGAAGAATCATTTCTAATTGAAGGAGGGAAAGTATAAACTTGACATTTATGGACACATGAACCTATTTTCACTCAGACTGAGGAAATCTCTCATGTGGGTGGCCTATAACTACTCACATATAGATGGTTAGGTGGGAAAGAAATTCAGTCTTGAAAAAATTAAATGAAAGAAGAATATGTTTACCACATCCTACTTATTTCAATGTTGTATTTAGAGTTTTAAGCAATACAAGTTTCTATCACACCAATAATACCATATAAAATGTGTTCTCCAAGAGTATCAACTAAACAGTGATATGCAGAGACTTAGAGTAAAAATTGCAAAAACTATTTCCTTTCCACAGGAAAGTGCCACATTTTTCTTTTGAAAAATGGTCTTTGGTAGACTAAATTTTTAAAACTGAGCAATCAAGAACAGTTTTGACCCCTGAAGCAGCTGGTTTGATGTTGCCCAACGTTTTTGAGTCTCTGTAGACATCCACAGGGGTTTAGTAATTATTCCCAGTGAGAGGAGCCTGATCTGAAGAGAAGT